ATTGTTCTGTAGGAACCCTTCTTCTACTTGAGCTTGTAAAAAATGCATTCGGGTTCGTGGCTTCCATCAGTTTTTTTTTGGGTGTGTGTGTGTGTGTTAATGGAGTATAACTGGAAGTTATCACCTTATGCGGATATTAAGACGGAATGGAATTCAGGATGCTGAAGCATGCTGAAGCCTTCAAATCCAAACTGCCAATATCACATGTTGAAACTATACATCAATGCAATTAAATTTACAATGCTGGATCTTTGATCAGAAATTATGAATGGAACAATCAATAAATGCATGTATACACACATATCCATCATGTTCAAATCGAACATCTACCTACTACTTTGGCAAGCGTGGCCAATATGGCGAAGAGAGGAACCGCTTTCCAACCTCTCCATCGCCTTAGTATGTTTTAACCATAATTCTGGTCAAATGTTTATAATTTACCAACCTGAAAAAAGACCATTTGGGGATGATTCCCCTTATTAAATTCATTAACCATGATTCCAGTGAGGTCGCAGTGAGGTCGTTATAATTTGCCCATCTCTCAGTCGGGATCATCGTCCGTCGAAGCCCCTTCGGGCAGCGACCCAGGCCACGTTTCCCACATGTTGCGACGAGAACTCGCCCAAGCGTGCGGGGATCGCCACCGCCGCCTCGGTGATCTCGGGGATGTCAACAAAGGTGGCGCCCCATGGTTTGCTAAGTGGGTTTAAAAGTCCAATATCTAGGGCCTATGGGTGGTTATATCTATGGTTAATGGGGATTATAAACCGACTTATAACTAGGGGGTACCACCTTGTAAGTCGATTTATAACTACATATAATACATACCATAAAAATAGAAGAGATTAAATAACTAAACCACATAGAAGATGCAAAATTGGGCGTGTAAAAAAAAACAAACCAGAGAGAAGATATTCCTTGTCGCAAAGGGTCCTCCAAGAGCCGGTTAACGGTTTCGAGGGTTATTTAATGTCCTTTTTTATCAACTGTTAGGTTTTAACCCACATACCTTCTGACATACCAGGGCACTGAAATGCTGGTATTTGCATTGTTTTCACATTTCCAGATCAAATAGAAGATACTAGAAAAATTCAAATCCGCAAAGAGGTCCTCCCCCAGAGGAGGACCACTGCGACGGGCCCTTTTTTGGACTTTCTCTGAGAAAAAAAAACGCAAAAAACATTGTTTTTTTTGCTTAGTTTTTGGCGTGATGTGAGCCACAAACCAGGTTGAAAAAACACATCAAATAGAAGATATTGGTGTACAAACTGACTGACCAAATAGAAGCTATTCAATAGTTAATTGGGAAGGGTATCAGCCATGGAAATTAATTCAATGAATATCTTCTATTTGGTCGGTCTGGCAGAAACTATTATTATTAAAATGCGGGGATTTGCTACCTACGTACCACCATCTCTATCTTCTGCCACCTACCTGCCACATCCTGCCACTACCTGCCAGTTTCACACTCTCTACCTGCCACTACCTGCCAGTCTCTACCTGCCACTGCACTACCTGCCACTACCTGGCTCCTACCTCCGCCTGCCAATACCTGCCAGTGTCCACTGTTTCCACCTGCCACAGTCTGACACTACCTCCACCAGCCACGACTACCTGCTGCCTGCCACTATCTGTTGCTACCTGACTTCCAGCTAGCACCTCTGTCTGCCATCACCTGCAACTACCTACCTGCCTTAACCTATCCCCAGACCCAGTGGCTGAGATTGCCACGACTGAAGCTATACAACAGACCAAGATACCAAACAATCCTCAAAAGTTCCTCCTGGAGGATCAGGCCCAGAATATCTTCTATTTGGTTTGTTTTTTGAAACCCTGGTTTTTGACCAACATCACCTCGAAAAAAGGCAAAACAACTCCAGGATTTGCTCGTTTTTTTGCAGAGAAGGTCCAAAAAAGGGTCCGTTGCAAATGGCCCACCCGGGGGAGGACACCTTTGCCACTCCACAATCTCCAAATGACACTGTAAATTCAGTCGTTCAGAGCCTTGGCATCGAATTTTCACATGTTCCTCTTGGTAGCCAATTTGCAACAAAGAATATTTTCTATTTGGTTTGTTTTTTGAAACCTTGGTTTCTGACCCACATCACCGCAACAAAAAATATTTTCTATTTGGTTTGTTTTTTGAAACCTTGGTTTTTGACAAACATCACCGCAACAAAGAATATCTTCTATTTGGTTTGTTTTTTGAAGCCTTGGTTTTTGACAAACATCACCGCAACAACGAATATCTTCTATTTGGTTTGTTTTTTGAAACCTTGGTTTTTGACGAACATCACGGCAACAAAGAATATTTTCTATTTGGTTGGTTTTTTGAAACCTTGGTTTTTGACCGATGTCACCGTACCACCATCTCTATCTTCTGCCACCTACCTGCCACTACCTCTACCTACCGCTACCTGCCACTGCCTGCCACTACCCACCTGCAACTAGCTGCCACATCCTGCCACTACCTGCCAGTTTCTGCCACAGTCTCTATCCACTACATGCCAGTTTCTCCCACTCTCTACTTGCCATTACCTGCCAATATCTACCTGCACTACCTGCCACTACCTGCCACTACCTGCCACTATTTCCACCTGCTGCTGCTGCTGCTGCTAACAAGATTTCCTTTGAAAAGGGTCCTCGGGCGAATGGGGTCCTGAGCTACACGCGCGCCGCGCGCGCGAGCGCGCCAAAAGGGCTTCAATTTGGAGATCGTGTTTGCTGCTGCTGCTGCTGCTGCTGCTCTAGTTTTGGCTGCAGATAACACCCCGACCGGACAAATAGAAGATCAAATCAGATAGAAGATGGGGGTCAAAAATTACCGAACACATAGAAGATCCAAAAGTGGATCCGCAGCAAGGTCCTCCAAGCGGGCTCCAAAATGCTTTCCGACCCTGGTTTTGGCACTATGTTGACATAATATCTTCTATTTGATTCTTCCCACAACGGCTTTCAGAAAACCAAACACATAGAAGATGGGGTACAAAAATGGTGGCTGAATATCTTCTATTTTTGAGGTATGCATTATAGTCTAACTATGATTTATGAATCTTTATGAGTTGGTTGAACTAACTGAGTGATTTCTATGGTTTATAAATGTTGATGGTGGATATCGAACTACTTACTATAATGGTGCGTATAAATCAACTTATAACTGGAGGGGCACCATTTGCTAATTGATGTTTAGTGCATGCGATGTTTGCACGTTCTTACCATGCTAATGTATACCACATATCTTCACCCCAGCTGGAGATCCTTTTACGACAATTATCTCATCACTTCCATAAATCACTCAGGGTTGACACCAGCTGTTGCAGTAACCACCAGAATTTCCCATCCAAAATCCTCCCAACTGCACCAGGGTTGACACCAGCTGTTGCAGCAGCTTTGGGTCGCTGGAAAGCTTGGCCAGGGACCAGGCCTGGGAGTTTTTTGTGTGCCATCAGGGTGGTACTTCTTTTTGTTTCTCTCCTTCTCTCTCTCTCTCTCTGTCTCTCTGTCTCTCTGTCTCTCTGTCTCTCTCTACTCTGTCTCTCTCTCTCTCTCTCGCTCCCTCCCTCCCTCCCTCCCTCTCCCTCCCTCCCCTCCCTCCCTCCTCCCTCCCTCCTCCCCCCCCCCTCCCCCCATAGCAGGCTGAGGTTGTACTGTACTTCGATGCTGTTTTGTCCATCATTTACCAGTTTTGCAATTTGTTTGGCATCTTTTTTGGTGGCATCTATACATGTTAATATGCATATATACATACATACATACATACATACATACATACATACATACATACATACATACATACATACATACATACATACATACATATATATATAATATTTGTATGTGTGTCTGTGTGTATATGTATCACATTGTAAGCCCCAAAAGCTAGGACAGTCCAGTAGTGGATCACTGTTTACGTAGGGTTTTATGTTTGTTCTTTTTTAGCATTGTTTATCTTATCCGAAATAAATAGTCATATAATTGTTCATGTCTATATCATGTAATGTCATCCTGGATTATGTTCTTGGATAACAGTTGTGATATGCTATATAATAACAATTCACGAACTGTAATATTTATTTACATTCACTAGGTCAATAACTAGAGGATGACCCAGGCTAAAAACCTTGGGTATAGTATTTATAGTAAAGCCTATTATTGTCATCTCAGCCAGTTGGTGGTTGAACAACCCCCTTTAAAAATGGGTGTTAACATGGGTTAACTGGGATTAACATTCCAGGAAAGATGATGAACACAACATAAATAACAAATGGCATTAACATGCATTAACTATTAATCCCGGTGTCAAAGCGCCGCCCAGAAAGCATTGGCATTAAGTATTGAAACAACTCGCAGATAGTCAGTACAGTCTGCATGAACCACATGTCGTAAGCAGGAGTTGAAGTTCTGACGTGGAATGCATTGCATGGCCTATGAGGGGCCCCTCATGTGCAAAGTTTCCGTGGAGTCTGTGCGGTCCCCAGAAAACGCCTCACCTGCTGCCGCGAGGTCGCGCGTTTTTGCCATCTTTGCTGATAGGGGCTGCGAAGTCACGTGATTGCCGACATGCTCGCTGCAAAGGGCAGAAAATTCCTGGTGGAAATTGGTTCTCAACGACGCCACCGGAGTTCCCCACCAGCGCATCGTACCAAGACCCCCAAGTCCCGGGCAGAGTTGGACCCCTCTGTGCCTGGGAATTGCAGATTCTCGGGCCAAGTTCAAGTTTTAAGTTTTGAAAACCATTGAAGGATTGAAACAGATTGAAACACCAAAGCTGCCACGAAATCACCTGACTTCCTCAAGTGCCACTTGAACGCCCGAGATCCCCTGAATTGGTCCATACTGCACAAGTGCTTCCTAATGTGCTTGGCTTGTCCACACTTTGGACATTGGCACACTGAAGCTGATGGACCGTTGCGTAGCCACACCTGCCATGGCTTCTTCCATATCTTCCATTAAAGCTGAGACTAAGACTTGATCGGACGCTGGTGGATTCGTGAATTGGCCCTGCGAAATGTCCATTCGACTTGGAAGAGCCGGTTGAATCCTAACATCTGGAGCTGTCTCACTCCCGTGCGCGGGTCTCAAAGATGTAGTCGAACCTGAAGCAAAGCTGCAAAACCCCGTGCCTTGATTCGTTTTGGCTTCACCATGTTTCACCTTCATCGCACTAAATGAAGCACCAATGATCAATGGATCCATCACTTGACCGAAATCCCCAAGAAATTCTATTTCATCAAGTCCATTAAGCATCAAAGCATCATGAAACATAATGACATGATGAAAGCAAATCACACACAGATAATCATATATAGATACAAAACAATGATAAATAATCCGACTTCGGGGTAGAAAATGTTGAGTTCAGCCTTAAACATCTCAAACACTTGAAGTATGTTCATATTTTTCTGCAGATCCTACACTCACCCTATTTGATTCGCATCCCTCTCATACCTGACATATCAGTGGACAAGAGACTCTAACATCTCTAAGTACATAGGACACTCATCGTAAATCATACCATGGACATACCCCAACAACGTCGCAGGTGCAGAGTGTCTCAGGGTCCAAACTCAGCTTGTGCAGAAGGGACACCAAAGGTCACCAAGTCTCCCGGGTTCAACGCCTGTCGCAAACTGGGAGGAAGCCAACGGGAGGAACTTGGAAAGTGAATGAAAGTGATACACCATAAATGATACACATTAAAAACTTATTACGGTATGACGCATTCTGATTACTTTATTGGGCTTTGTGGCTTTTATGATATTTTGGTTAACTTATAATCTAGAAGTGTTGATGATGTTCAGTTTTAGATATATAGTTTTCGGAACATTTAACACTTTTGTCTCACACTAGATATGTTCCTATCTCTCTGTTTTTGTTCAGGCGTATATGATGAGGATTCATAGGCCCCACAAGTTCGACGGACACCTCAACTGTCCCCCGCAATGTTAACATTGAGGCTATGGATGGCAACGGCTTCATTACAATCGCCCTATTTGTTGGGGGTGATTGGTAAAAATGCGCGTTGCTGCAAGCCTAAGTTGGTGAATACCACCAATTGGAGCAACTTAATTAGTGATGGGCCAAAACATGTCGAACACACACACACGCACACGTATATATATATAAATATAATATTATATAATTATATACATATTATATATCATATCATTTTTTGACCATATACTTCACACAGCTAGGTATCATGAGGTAATTTCTCATAGCCCCACCTGTCTTGGGTCCCATCTTTGGGCGACATCTGAGGACAGCCACCTGCTTCCCACTGACCCGCGATCCGTTGATGTGCACGCCATTCATGGAGCCTTGGTCCTCGAAAATTCTGGTCGGGTGGTTTCCATGGAGAACCCCTACATCATCCAAAATTCGACCATGTTAGTATTTAAACCCGTGGTTTTTGGGCTAGCCTCATTTTCAGAAACCTGCGCAGGGTTTGTCTCAAAAAATGGCACATACCCCTTAAACCCCATGGCTTATGATAATTTTCCCCGATTGAAACGTATTTCTGGACAAATCCGCAATAAACACTGAACACCCAAAGGGAACATGCTTTAGCTGCTGGCAGTTTATATAACTTTTCAGATGGATAATATACTAAAAAAACATGAATCTGCAGCCGGCCACGTAGGGGATGATTTGAACTACTGACAATCATTTATGGTAGGCTACTGTAACAAACAATAATTACATCTTGGCAACTCACTGTATCATGATTAATCTTGACATATCATACTCTTCGAGGGAGTGAATGTAGTGAAAGTGTGGGACAATATATTCTGAGGGTGTCTGCTTAGTCTGAATCTTGTGGACGCCCCAAAACACGACAACCAAACAAGGACAGGAGGAATGCATGTCTGGCGTCCTAGATGTGGATAATAATCAGCAAATCACACACTTGCTTTGTAAGTGTCCTAGTTTTGGTGAGGCAGCAGAAGATATATCAAATGGTCTCAAGTTGTGAGCCGTTGCGCATGGCTATGTCAGTTGCTGCTTTAGAGGTGGCACTTTCCGGAGCTGGGGTTTGTCGGCACCTCAATAAAGCATTCATCGCCGTAAAGACATGCCAAGGCATGTGAACGCCTCAGCACGACGCGGTCACTCTCAACCCGAACATGGAGCTCGGGACATGAAAGTCATTGGCCTATTTTTAAAACTGGGGTAAACACAATAACCACAGTAACAATCATCCACAATCTAGGTTTTACCATTGGGTATACCCCTATATGGGATGCTTTAAAATGACACTCAAAGGAAATAGTCTTTATTATTATTGGGTTTATAACCATCCTGAAGTAGATACGCGTGTATAATTAATATGATGTGTTGAAAGATACTCCGTTTTTAGAAAGTTTTTTTTTTTTTAACTTCCATATTCTATCTACTCCAGGATGATTGTGTATTTGTGTATGTATATAAAGAATATATATATATATAGCGACACATTTATGTCTATATGTATGTATGCATGCATGCATGCATGTATGCATGTATATGTATGGTATGTATGGTATGTATGGTATGTATGGTATGTATGGTATGTATGGTATGTATGGTATGTATGGTATGTATGGTATGTATGGTATGTATGGTATGTATGGTATGTATGGTATGTATGGTATGTATGGTATGTATGGTATGTATGTATGTAAGTATGTATGTATGTATGTTTGTATGCATGCATGTATGTATGTTTGTGTATGTATGTATGTGTATGTGTATGTGTATGTGTATGTGTATGTGTATGTATATGTGTATGTGTATGTATGTATGTATGTATGTATCTATGTATGTATGTATGTGTATGTATGTATGTATGTATGTGTATGTATGTATGTATGTATGTATGTATGTATGTGTATGTATGTATGTATGTGTATGTATGTATGTGTATGTATGTATGTGTATGTATGTATGTATGTGTATGTATGTATGTATGTATGTGTATGTATGTATGTATGTATGTATATGTTTTGGACAAAACATCAAATGAACATGCTCGCACTCCACAAACCCGCTTTTTGTTGGAGAAAGTCTAATTGATTTGGATTTAACAAATGGCTCAAACTGGTTTAGGCATAAATTTCACTTGGCAACACTCAACAAAAATGCTTGAAACGTAATATTCCCTTTGAACGACGCTATTGTTTTTGAATTTCAAAGGTTCGGATTGGAGACACAAGCGTAACGCGTAATCTCAACACGTTGCACGACTGGGGCCCTTTACGAGATCATCTGTGGCGTCAGCATGGAATCAAGCCGAACCTCGGCGTGGGAGATGGGATTAATGGAATATCATGGGATATACGGATATATCATATTAAACATATTCTCAATATCATATTACAGTATACGTTTATAGAGGTCCAATGGGAGATATCATGAAATATCAATGTGATAATTTTCGTAACTACCAACATGGTACCAGGGGGTGCGGTTAACTGTTACGGGTTCATGGTAGATGTCTCAGTAGTGGGGTTAAATAGTTAACATAAACCAACGAACACAACTGCAGGGCACCATCTTGTAGATTAAATGTAGATTAATAACCCGCCGTTTACACCTCATGAACAACCATTTTGGTCACTGATCAGGTTGCATGTTTGCCTGTGCAAGTGGCTGTCAAATCTTGATGAAAGAACATTCTGAAACATATACCCCATCATATTAGCTTATATTACATTTATATATATATATTATTTATAGAGAGAGAGAGAGCGGTTTCTGGAAATGGGGGATCCCCAAGCCACCATTGTTGTGTCAATAGCAAGTCATGGTCATCCATTTTCCTTGGATGATTTGGGGTACCCCCATAACTTCGGAAACCTCTATTGATATGAAAGGTTCCATGAAACTGTGCCCTGAGTGGCCAGCATCACAAGCATCCCCACGGCCTCAGGAATGTCCCCACTGGATACTGGTCGCCAACTCGACCATCATTAAAAACACATGGTGACCTGGATTTTTGCTAAGCGGTAATCAAACATATAGCACCAGAAAATCCGCCATTTATATATATATAAAGATATTTATTTATACACTTATAGATGATTCTCCTAACAGACCCTCGGTTTATAGGATATAGGGGACTTGAGCATTTGTTGGCTTCACAAATGCATGTGAGAACAACAACTTTTCGTCGAAGAACAGAACTCTCTTGGGTAATTAATTTGTGCTTACACAAAAGGTCCTCTAATATCCTCTAAGACTTTTGACACGCAATAGTGACAAGGGAACCTTGTGGTCCAATTTTCCCGCCCCAAAATACAGCATCAAACTCACGCTTCAAGCAGCAAACCTGGTGGAACATGCGTAGAAACTCAGAAATTTGATGGGACATTCTCTGAACAAATTTGTGAGTTTCTACCATGGAATTTCGCATCAAATGGGTACAGTACCATGACCCTCTGGGGTTTCTCTCTGGATGGGTCATGATGGGTCATGGAGGCGAGTTTGGATAATCGTACAGTCCCCTCCACCATCGAGCGCTGCACCGATCAGAAGCCGATCTGAGACGTAGATGACCTGTGGCCTGGGACATGGGGGAGCTGATGAGATCAGGTTATAGCTTTCAGGAAAAAGGACGAAAAAATCTATGGTCATTATATGGGATAATCCTTCCCATTGACTTTCATATTTTTCAGAGGGGTATAGGTATACCACCAACCAGATACTATAATCACTATATCGGTGATGTGGGTGTTTCTTAACTATTTGGATACCGCTAAAATCATCCACCTATGTTTTTGAGCTTGGCCAGGTCCATCATCCTGCCGGTGAGCCGATCTGTACATTGCCGAAAAATCATAGCAAATAAACAAAAAGTGCCGTGCGGCCAATTATAGAAATACAAGTTGGTTTATGAATCTATCTAGCTACAGATCCACAATAAATCCAAGCGCTAGCCTGGGTCCAAACCAACTTAGCTATCGTAAACCAGTTATGAATTTATATGAACTTATCCGTATATAATTCCCATTGAATCCTTATGTCTGTTGAAGCTTTAACTCACCATTTTCCGCATGGTCTTGGAGCGGCTCCACTGGGTGACTCACTGGACACGTCCTCCATAAATGCATTTTTCATGCCTGCCAAAGCTCCGTGATTTCGAAACTCCCCAGCCATGACTTTGTCCAACAGGGTACCCTCATGACACAGCATGCCACCAAAATCTCATGGTTTTTAGTTGTTTATCATGATTTTCATGGTTTAGCCCAACTAAAATGCCAAGTTTGGGGCCTCCGAAAACTTCCGAAGCAGAATCCGTGCAGAAAACATGGACGCGACCTGGCCACGGGAAAGCCTGGCAACCTGTCGCAATTTCTGGCCTTCGGAGACGATGATAGCAGCCAGTCCTCAAGTGCTCGGATGTTGGATATGGTGGCCACATGCCATGGCCTTTTTGGCAAGAGGTTCCAACAAGTACCCTCTGGTAATTTAACGTAGCTATTGAAAATGGCCATTTATAGTGCATTTTCCCATTAAAAATGGTGATTTTCCATAGTTATGTTAGTTTACCAGAGGGTATCGGTTGGCTTTAATTTAGTTGTTGGAATCGACTTCTTGCCTTTTCACAGTCAAGGCACAAGTGAAGGGAGATCATGTTGGAACCGACCAAAACCAGCAATGTCGACATCAAAGAGGCACCGCTTGCACTGAGAGGCTGGCTTCCATGGCAGTCCTGAAGGGGCTGAATCGGTGATATGAAAACTACGGTGCCCCAATCACTGAAATCCAGGGCCTCAGAAAAACCCAACAGTCAAACTATGTCAAACTATGTCATAGCCTGTCAAACTGCAAAAAAAAGGAATGCCTGGGCTTTCATGACTTCAGTGAGTTGAGTATTTCATTCTTGATTTTCTTCACAAATTTTCACATTTTTGAGGAGTCAAACAGTCACACACTCAATTTCATTATCATCCACTACCCATGATGTAGAGAAAGGATGAAAAAGGCCTGCTTGTACCCTTGAAGTTCATTGATGTAGTGCCCAGTTGCCAGTGCAGTATCATGTGAGGCAAGCGTGCTGGTGGCGCCAGTACCAGTAACAAAGTCATTGGCTTCAAAGCAAAGGAGACCCCTATGACCATGAACTTCCACACTACCCCACCCGTAACCCCCTACAAAATATTTAAAGATTTGACCATTTCTGAATTCCTTATTATATAATATACTAATAAGATATTAGCATGCTAATAAGGAAAAAAATCTCATTTTTGGATACAAGCCTTAAATGTATATTATTAGCATACTAAAAAAAACTAATAGTAGCTTAAAATTTGATGGCAATTAAGGCCTAAAAATCCATTACGTGTGATTTTGTATCCAATTCCTTATTAGGCACCTAATCTGGTCCGCATTAAGAAAAGTGCCATTTTGGTTATTTGTATCCCAAGAAAGATTTGTATCCTTTGTATCCCCAAACCATACAAAAAACTTAATAGTATGCTATTAATGCGATTCTCATCCTTATTAGGTTACTATTAAGTTTTTGTATCCAAGCCCGGTCTCTGGGGATACACAAAAATTAGTAGTCACCTAATAAGGTAAAATCTCAGCCCTCCCAATTATTATTAGGGCACTTTTAAGTTTTTGTACCCAAACCCGGTCTTGGGGGATACAAAAAAATGTAAAACACTAATAGGCATCTAATAAGGTGCAGTCGTGGATTATTTATCAGGGGTCTATTAAAAGATTGTATACACAATCTTAACTGTAAACTAATAAGGGTTTTATGGAAATCTCTTCAACCTATATTTTTTTGGGGTAATCTGGATGTCTCTGCTAGCATTTTGCTTGACGCGATGCTTGGCAATTTGGATTTGAAAGAATCTTGCTCTTGTTGATTGTTTTTTGTTGCTTTGGTTCAATCATCATGGAAATGAAAATGGACTGGCATTCCCTCATTTACATTTTGACAGACATCAAAACAACACTGCAAGGCCCTCAATTAGAGGAGCAGCTTCCATACAGTGCATTTTGCACATTGACCGTTGCCAACCAAAAGCTGCAACATGGCCAAAGTACCATTTTTCCTCATAGTTTTTCAAAACCCCCCCGCCACCCAACACCTGGCAAAACCATAAGGATTGATAACATTTTTTGCCTTTGGCCCGGGAATGAAATATGTGGGAGATGAAATGTTTAGCAAATCCCTTACACCCTTGCCACGCTCCACCACTCAATCAAGACAAAGGCAAAACAAAAACTAAACCTTATGGTTTTGTCGAGGTCTGTTTGGGGTCCGGGACCTGGCAAGCCCTACTATCTAAGGCCTACTAGGGGACTGATGCTTGTGAATCATTTGGGAATCACTAATAATAATGAATTCACTCCCAGCTCTCCCATCTCATCCCTACCCTTCCCCCAATCCCACCCTTAATAAGCAGCTAATAAGGAATTCACTCCCAGCTCTCCCATCTCACCCCTACCCTTCCCCCAATCCGACCCTTAATAGGCAGCTAGTAAGGAATTCACTCCCAGCTCTCCCATCTCGAGTGAGTTCATTCTTAGCTGACTATTAAGGGTGGGATTGGGGAAAGGGTAGGGGTGAGATGGGAGAGCTGGGAGTGAATTCCTTATTAGCTGCCTATTAAGGGTGGGATTGGGGAAAGGGTAGGGATTAGATGGGAGAGGTGGAAGTGAATTCCTTATTAGCTGCCTATTAAGGTTGCGGGAGTGAGTTCATTATTAGCTGACTATTAAGGGTGGGATTGGGGAAAGGGTAGGGGTGAGATGGGAGAGCTGGGAGTGAGTTCATTATTAGCTGACTATTAAGGGTGGGATTGGGGAAAGGGTAGGGGTGAGATGGGAGAGCTGGGAGTGAATTCCTTATTAGCTGCCTATTAAGGGTGGGATTGGGGAAAGGGTAGGGATGAGATGGGAGAGGTGGGAGTGAATTCCTTATTAGCTGCCTATTAAGGGTGGGATTGGGGAAAGGGTAGGGGTGAGATGGGAGAGCTGGGAGTGAGTTCATTATTAGCTGACTATTAAGGGTGGGATTGGGGAAAGGGTAGGGATGAGATGGGAGAGGTGGGAGTGAATTCCTTATTAGCTGCCTATTAAGGATTATGTTTATGATGGATTTTGTTTGATCAGCACAATTTGTATGGATCCTTATTAGGTATATCAAATAAACTCAATAAATTGCTAGGCGTCTAATAAGGATTCACCAAAAAACTGATCTCCACAATTTTGTGTAAAACTTTATTAGGCATCTATTAATGCAAAAATTCCTTATTAGGACCCTAATAAAATTTCATACACAAATCGTACCCCGCCAATTTTGTATAAAACCTTATTAGTAATCTAATAAGGCAAAAATTCCTTATTAGCACCCTAAAAAGTTTTTATACAAAAATGATGTGTAAAAATTATTAGCATGCCAATAAGGCATTTTTTCATTATGATTCATACAAAACGCCAAAATCAATCCGTATTAGGCTACTAAGCTACTAAGTATTTTTAGTTTGTATCCTCCCATTTTCCTAATTAGTAGCCACATAAGAAACCAATAAATTCATGGATACAAACCGATTTTCTTATTTACTATCTAAAAAAGTGATGGGGGGGTACTTGGGGGGAGTGTGGAAGTTCATGATATGATGACAAGTGGTAAACGACTGGGCTTTGTTGTTTCGCGTTGACCCTATTGCCACACAGACCCAAACTTCCATGATTTCCGGTTGATGTTCATTTTCATCCTAAAACGGAGTCAAGGTTTACAGCTCTCAGCACCTTGGGCTGCCCCGAAAAAAGGGTCCTTCTTCAATCGCGGCTTCTGGCTCGAAGACCTGTGTGGCAGCAAGACCTTAGGACTGACCACTGATATTCGCTGACCGAAGGTGCCATGATGCAGCCAGGGGATGAAATAAATCGATGTTACTCGTGTAGAAGTGTCGATGTCAATGGATTGATATGGATTGATTGATTTTTTGCTCAACTTTCTTGTGGCTGCTCATGCACATGGGAACATGATCAGCATGCAACTAAGGATTCATCTATGTGACAGGTGGTTCGCTCCCCATGATGCCTGCTTGAAAATGCCCGTACTTCTGCTTCGGTGTTCACATGTTGGGATTTGTTTAGCACGGCTTATTGTATCTTAATGCGAGTAAAGCAATAGTAAACCATATCCATGTTTACCATAAATGGGTAGCATAACCCATCCAAATATGGGCGGTTTACTATTTTTTTACTAACATATCACCATTTTTTATGGTTAAAAAAACGCATTTTTTTTCATGGTTCAATCATGGACCCTGGGGGGGGGTGTAAGTAGCTTATCATATAAAGGTTTATTAGGGGCTTCTGTGTAAGGCCCTTATTAGAAGATATTAGAAGCTTAATAAATTCTTATCCGTTAAGCTCTGAACACTAGTTCAGTCTTCAGCCAAGGAGCCTAGGACCAAGGTATGGGCGGGAGAGTCTGCGGAGGGTAGGCAAATCAGGTTGGGAAACAGGCTTATCCAAGGCTTATCCAAGGCTTATCCAAGGCTTATCCTTTCAGCCCTGGATAAGCCCTTAATAAGCCCTTATCTGTTTTCAACCAACCCTGAACAAACCTTGGATAAGGATCTCTTGTTTCATTCATGGTTGGACCAGGGAATAAAGACAGTTTTCCGTGGCGTTGGGGATATCTGATAAGCCATTATTAGGCTCTTATATGATAAGCTACTTACCCCCCTTTACCCCCCCCCCAGGGTTCCATGATTCAATCATGTTAAACCACCATTTTTCGAAGTTACAACAGCCCCAAAGTTCCTGAACTCGGAGAACTCGTCATCTGTCCCCCAGGGATCATGGCACGCTTCTCGGGACACCCGTGGTGCTGGTGCCGAAGCAGCAGACCTGGCTGGCACCACCACCTCCAGGCCATGATCTTTTTTCTCGGGGCACAACCACTATTTAACAATGATGTTGAATGATGTTGAACCTCTCCAAATCCTCTGAAACAAAAACATGTTGTTAAATGAAATCCGCATGTTCAAAGATTGCGAATCCGAACATTTACTTTTTTTTTTCTGGTTAGATTCTCATGTTTGCTGGTTAGAACATGTTGAAAAACCCACCACCAACCCATCACCAACCACCCGCGGATCGGACGCAGGAAGCGGCTCTGGAGGAGGCAATCTGCTGGTGTTGGCCGGGCGCTTCCTCACAAGAATTGCTGGGTTCTCCAGGGAAAATATCCATTAAAAAAAACACGCGTGCTTTCCACTCAGTGGACTGCTAAGTGGTAAATTAAATATGTGCTTATCCAAAGTGTGCTTACAATTTTTGCCAGGGCTTCTCAGAGGGCTTACATTACATGAATTATGTATATATATAATTTTACAAGGGTTTGAAGTCGCACATTGGTTCTAAGTCGTGTAAAGTCGTGTAAAATTGTGACTGACATGACATGCCTTACTTGATAACCATCTGTGCACAAATTTCGTGTATTTCCAGGATCACCGCAGTTACTGTTAGCAACTCCGGGCAGCCTGAGATGACAGAGATGACTGGAAGATTCACCAACCAACCAGTCAAGGCCGATTTCCACTTCCATACTTGAGGGCCTGAGGAATAGGAAACCTCTGTGTAATGTTGTTCTTTATGTTTTTTTTGATATTGTTTTACAATACCAAATTTCAGATGGCTGGAAAATCCACTGTTTTTAATAGAGTTGATATTCATAGCAACCTCCATGGGTAATCTGCTGTATAGGTCTTTTTCCAGATTGCAATGTCTGATTACCGAAGGCTTCCTTTGCATGCGCGGCGCCTCTTCGGCGCAGCACCTTCCAACTCGTTCCTCTTCTCGCGAATGCGGCCTAGCTGCGCTGAGGGAAAGTTCCCTGGGCCAAAACACGGGGAGCACAGTAGAACCAACCTGGTGCATGGATGAATCATGATAAATCACTAATCATCACTTATCAGCAAGGAATGGGAACACAATCAATTTTCACCTGGTGACATCCTATCATTCATCGCATCAGTAGACAATTTCCTGCACCCGAACAAAAACGGCCCTCCGCCGACGCGACCGATCTAAGGATCACGCTGAGAAGGTTTGGCCGCACAGCGGTGAAAATCTGAGTGTACCTGAGCGATGCTCATCACATCACCGTCTAATCAAATCCGTCTATACCTTAAGAACTTGGCATAGAACCCCGACATAAATGCACAGAACTGGATTTCATTACACATAAAAATACATTGAAACTTGATCTTCAGTAAAAACAATTGTAATCCCTTCCCCCAATACTAAACACCCGCCCTCACCCCTTTGCATACAAGTCATTAACAAGTTCTTGGGATTTCTTGGGTCTTGAAAAAAAATCCACGCTGAATCTGAATTTCGGTAGCTTGGTCATTGGGCTTCCAACACTCCTTCGCCCACAGCTTTCTTCAAGTACCTCCCCGGAAGTGGCAAAGCTGGCACCAACAATGCACCACATGGATCCGCAAAGCAATGGCATCATCCGCAATAATGGGCAGGGCACTGAAAGGAACTGAAGGCTCGAGTTCCTGAAAGCAAAAAACATATTGAATGGACATAGGCCATTCACCCTTCCACTTATCCAATACAGGCGTTCGACCCTTCATGTTTTTCCTGTGGGAATTAAATTGTTATTCCCTTCGTCTTGACATCCTTTCGGCGGTGAATTTTGCCATAAAAGTTTGAACGCCAAGGACTGATGGATCATGTCTTGGGCAAAATACAGCTACTTCTTCGACCACTGTCATGTCAGATATTGGAGGAATTTGCCGTTAAATCGTGTTTCAACAGGATGGTTTGACCACCAAAGATGACAACGCGTGGTTTTGTGTTTGAAGCCGCCCCTGAGCCACCCAGCTTTGAGGAGACAAGATCTTCCAGCAAATCATCTTGGAAGACGAGCGTCTCCAAGAAGGGAAGAAGGGATAACCATGCTACCTTCATGATCCTTCATGGTAGTATCAGTAATCAACTTAAGGTGAATGTCTCATGGAACACTGCTAACTTTTTCTTGAAGTTTCTTGTGAGGATGCACAATGATATACATGTTTTGAGACACACCGAAGCACAAGGTTTCCTGGCACTGAGAGCCCCTACTGAGCTGTGAGCCTGTGGTTTCGTGCTGTTCACCTCTTTTAACCTCAGTAATCATAGAGCATTGAAAGGATGTAATGGGCCAAAGATAGCACTTAGACGACGGTAAAAACGTGCCCCATTGTTTCAAGCTTTCAATTTTGGACCCGTAACGGGACCCATCGGAACCCGTACCGATTTCAGAGTTGAACCTCTTTGCTGGTTGGCCCCAACAGGAATCAAAATTTGACGCTCATCCCATTTCTGGGCATGGACATGCATGGACCATATTCAAAAGTTTCAAAAGATCAAATATGATCAAACCACCAAGCTCCAGTTTTCATCATGTGCCAGCAACGGAATCTCATTGAAGAGGCTACTTGACCCCTGTGATGAACCAGTAGCCTTTAGCCAAGCTATCAATGGCCTTGCCGGAAGTGAAAGGAGGCATCAATGAAAGAAACTCTTTGACAGTCGCGTAGTCGTAGCGGCGACTCAAGCTGTCAATCACCGTGTCATCGATGCCGGCCTTCATGACTGGCATCAACTCGTCGAAGACTTCGTGGTTATCGAACCGCTTCCTCAGGCTATTAATCACCGTGCCGGAAGTGAACGGAGGCAACAGGCCAGAGAGAAAGTATTTGACCTGCTTGTAGTTATACACGGGAGTCAAGCCGTTAATCACCGAGGGATCCACGCCTGCCTTCATGACTGGCAACAGCTCTTTGATTTGGTTGCGATTGTAAACACTGGCCAAGCTATCAATGGCCTTGCCGGAAGTGAAAGGAGGCATCAGTGAAAGGAACTCTTTGACAGTCGCGTAGTCGTAGCGGCGACTCAAGCTGCCAATCACCGTGTCATCCATGCCTGCCTTCATGACCTGCAAGATGTCTTTGACTTGGTCGCGATCGTAAAGCCTGGCCAGGCTATCAATGGCCTTGCCGGAAGTGAAAGGAGGCATCAATGAAAGAAACTCTTTGACAGTCCCGTAGTCGTAGCGGCGACTCAAGCTGTCAATCACCGTGTCATCGATGCCGGCCTTCATGACTGGCATCAACTCGTCGAAGACTTTGTGGTTATCGAACCGCTTCCTCAGGCTATCAATCACCGTGCCGGAAGTGAACGGAGGCAACAGGCCAGAGAGAAAGTATTTGACCTGCTTGTAGTTATACACGGGAGTCAAGCCGTTAATCACCGAGGGATCCACGCCTGCCTTCATGACTGGCAACAGCTCTTTGATTTGGTTGCGATTGTAAACACTGGCCAGGCAATCAATGGCCTTGCCGGAAGTGAAAGGAGGCATCAGTGAAAGGAACTCTTTGACAGTCGCGTAGTCGTAGCGGCGACTCAAGCTGTCAATCACCGTGTCATCCATGCCTGCCTTCATGACCTGCAAGATGTCTTTGACTTGGTCGCGATCGTAAAGCCTGGCCAGGCTATCAATGGCCTTGCCGGAAGTGAAAGTAGGCATCATTGCAAGGAATTTTTTGACAGTCGCGTAGTCGTAGCTGAGACTCAAGCTGTCAACCACCGTGTAATAGATTCCTGTACGAGTTCACCGGGTCAGGTTGGCACATGTGATTTTCCAGTAGAAAATGTAGGTTGTATAAATTAGGGACCCAAGAAAATCTAGCAACAGACATCAAACCAATTTTAGTATCCTAGAAAAATGGCCACGTATAAAAGGTGCATTTTCGAAGCTATGTTTAGCATTTTCCTTAGAAAAGCATGAACCGCATAGTTTTGCAAATACGATATCAAACATGTTGAAAACCACTTCAAGTTACTGCTACCCTTTTTCTAGAGCCCAACATCGAGACGGCTGCAATGAGATGCACCAAGATGCGGACTGGACAGGAGAGAGATGGGACTGGATTTTAAGCATGTTTAAACAAAACAAAATGACCTACCAGTGTCTCTCTAGAAAATCAAGGACCACTTAACATCTTACGACTCAAAAGTTGTTCTGTAGAAAAATGGGGGAACTTCGAAAGCATCATTTAAGCAAATTCGAGCTTTTGGATTTGGAAGTACAGAAAATCAACCCTCCTTAGGGGGGTTAACCCCTGAAATCCTAGAGGAAACTCATTCCGGTATTGTAATAGTATGGAGTCAGCAGAAAGCCTGCTGGCTTCAATTTCAAACAAAAGCTTGAATCACATGGATGCAGGCCAGTACAGTATATGACCAAAGCGACTCCCTTGAGGCAGAAGCCGATATTGGGGTGGGGTGGGGTCTACTTGCATCCGCATTTCACAATATAGTCATCAAGGGGCCGCGAGGGCACTAAACCTTCGCGTTTACATCCGCATGTCAGCTGGCACGCACATACACACACACACAAAAAAAAAGAAAACGATTGAACATCTCAAATCTATAGTGTGGCTTCACATGGCTTCACCATGTCCGATTGCAAATGACTGTATTCAGCGGTGCTTTCTAGCGAGTCAAAAAGCGGTGCCCCTTCGCAAGGTGCTAACTTCACAAAACATGCCCCTGCTACTGACAAACGCAACTCTTCGCACAGTTCTTGCGGACACATTCCCCGCATTCCCCGACACTCCCTGAGAGGACACCCCACAAAGACACCTGCGTGAAGCCCGTCCTCGTCTAAGAAACTACACTTCACCAAGACACGCCACCGAGACAAACCAGTAGCTGGACTAAGATGGACTAGACTACCTTACCAAGACACTTGTCCGAGACACCCCACTTAGACACTTCCAAAGCACCCCGATGAAATACTCCGGGAAGATATTATACTAAAACATGTGGACCTCCACACACTTGAGTCCTCTATAAGACAGTCCCGCACAACACCAGGACCACCTGGACATGTCTTGACAGCAAATCGGCGCAGCCACGGCACGCCAAGCTGCACAGAAAAATGGCCTATGCCGAAGTCAAACCAAAACAGACAAAAACACCTGTGAACGAAGCAAAGCAAAGTAATAGCGTTGTTATATGAGTTCCGGAGGTCGAGAGGTTGAAGCGACTTCGGATAACTCCGCTATGAACTGATCAGAAAGTGGAACTATTAGTCGAAAACAGTGTATAGACGGCAGAAAATGCAAATACACATGTGCAAATAAAAGAAAGTGCAAAATAGGAGAGAGCAAGTGAGAGGGAAGCACAAGCAGGAATCAAAATGGAAATGCAGAAACAAGTATGTAGGAGATTGTAGGAGATTCTACAGCAGCTGCCGCAAAAGTAGACTCGACCTTCACTACCCTCATGGAGCCAACCATGTTCGACCCCTCAAAACTGTTCTTCCGTTGCGGCTTCCTTTCGCAGAACTTCTCTGAGGATTAATGGAACTCAAACGGCTGGGGCTCAAAAGGTCCTACCCAGATGATCAATTCTTGCAGCCACAATTTGGCTTCATCCCCGCACATCTTAAATGGGGGCTGACTAACCACAACTAGCAGCTATTTGGCCAACCCCATGGCTTGTCTAAGGAAACCCTTCCATGCCTGTACTTACCCTTAACAAAGTGTGAGATGACAAATACTGGAAGCCATCACCGACCTAGCAGTTTTTTTCACAACTCATCTCTCCTGTCCCGTCTTGCAGCACTGCGGCACTCTGATTGCTTCCTTCATCTTGACGTGACACAAGATCCACATGATCCGCGGCAGTCTCCTGAACATCTGCTTGGCGGGTCGAGCAATGAATTTGCTGGTCAGTAAAACGTATTTGGACCCCAAACAGGGTAATGAATCCGATGAAGAAACCTTTGGAAAATACAAACACTTGAAAATATCAGATCTCCTTCTTGAACATGTCAGCTTCAACCATGGATATCTCAGCCTGAGCATGTTGAGGCTGAACTTGCTCATGATTTTGCAAGGAGTCAACGGCATGACTGCGTAGCCCCCATAGCGGACGGAGTTGAACCACAAGAACGAGCAACAGAAACATTGTTCTGTCTGAGTTGGCCAAAATACGAATCGCTTGACTATGCTTGAGTATGCTTGAGTCGGAATGGCAAAGCCAACGTCGGACACCGCTTCACTGATTTCAGAGTTGAACCTCTTTGCTGGTTGGCCCTAACAGGAATCAAAATTTGACGCTCATCCCATTTATGGACATGCATGGACCATATTCAAAAGTTTCAAAAGATCAAATATGATCAAACCACCAAGCTCCAGTTTTCATCATGTGCCAGCAACGGAATCTCATTGAAGAGGCTACTTGACCCCTGTGATGAACCAGTAGCCTTTAGCCAAGCTATCAATGGCCTTGCCGGAAGTGAAAGGAGGCATCAATGAAAGAAACTCTTTGACAGTCGCGTAGTCGTAGCGGCGACTCAAGCTGTCAATCACCGTGTCATCGATGCCGGCCTTCATGACTGGCATCAACTCGTCGAAGACTTCGTGGTTATCGAACCGCTTCCTCAGGCTATTAATCACCGTGCCGGAAGTGAACGGAGGCAACAGGCCAGAGAGAAAGTATTTGACATGCTTGTAGTTATACACGGGAGTCAAGCCGTTAATCACCGAGGGATCCACGCCTGCCTTCATGACTGGCAACAGCTCTTTGATTTGGTTGCGATTGTAAACACTGGCCAAGCTATCAATGGCCTTGCCGGAAGTGAAAGGAGGCATCAGTGAAAGGAACTCTTTGACAGTCGCGTAGTCGTAGCGGCGACTCAAGCTGCCAATCACCGTGTCATCCATGCCTGCCTTCATGACCTGCAAGATGTCTTTGACTTGGTCGCGATCGTAAAGCCTGGCCAGGCTATCAATGGCCTTGCCGGAAGTGAAAGGAGGCATCAATGAAAGAAACTCTTTGACAGTCCCGTAGTCGTAGCGGCGACTCAAGCTGTCAATCACCGTGTCATCGATGCCGGCCTTCATGACTGGCATCAACTCGTCGAAGACTTTGTGGTTATCGAACCGCTTCCTCAGGCTATCAATCACCGTGCCGGAAGTGAACGGAGGCAACAGGCCAGAGAGAAAGTATTTGACCTGCTTGTAGTTATACACGGGAGTCAAGCCGTTAATCACCGAGGGATCCACGCCTGCCTTCATGACTGGCAACAGCTCTTTGATTTGGTTGCGATTGTAAACACTGGCCAGGCAATCAATGGCCTTGCCGGAAGTGAAAGGAGGCATCAGTGAAAGGAACTCTTTGACAGTCGCGTAGTCGTAGCGGCGACTCAAGCTGTCAATCACCGTGTCATCCATGCCTGCCTTCATGACCTGCAAGATGTCTTTGACTTGGTCGCGATCGTAAAGCCTGGCCAGGCTATCAATGGCCTTGCCGGAAGTGAAAGGAGGCATCATTGCAAGGAATTTTTTGACAGTCGCGTAGTCGTAGCTGAGACTCAAGCTGTCAACCACCGTGTAATAGATTCCTGTACGAGTTCACCGGGTCAGGTTGGCACATGTGATTTTCCAGTAGAAAATGTAGGTTGTATAAATTAGGGACCCAAGAAAATCTAGCAACAGACATCAAACCAATTTTAGTATCCTAGAAAAATGGCCACGTATAAAAGGTGCATTTTCGAAGCTATGTTTAGCATTTTCCTTAGAAAAGCACCGCCGTACTTGAACTGCATAGTTTTGCAAATACGATATCAAACATGTTGAAAACCACTTCAAGTTACTGCTACCCTTTTTCTAGAGCCCAACATCGAGACGGCTGCAATGAGATGCACCAAGATGCGGACTGGACAGGAGAGAGATGGGACTGGATTTTAAGCATGTTTAAACAAAACAAAATGACCTACCAGTGTCTCTCTAGAAAATCAAGGACCACTTAACATCTTACGACTCAAAAGTTGTTCTGTAGAAAAATGGGGGAACTTCGAAAGCATCATTTAAGCAAATTCGAGCTTTTGGATTTGGAAGTACAGAAAATCAACCCTCCTTAGGGGGGTTAACCCCTGAAATCCTAGAGGAAACTCATTCCGGTATTGTAATAGTATGGAGTCAGCAGAAAGCCTGCTGGCTTCAATTTCAAACAAAAGCTTGAATCACATGGATGCAGGCCAGTACAGTATATGACCAAAGCGACTCCCTTGAGGCAGAAGCCGATATTGGGGTGGGGTGGGGTCTACTTGCATCCGCATTTCACAATATAGTCATCAAGGGGCCGCGAGGGCACTAAACCTTCGCGTTTACTTCCGCATGTCAGCTGGCACGCACATACACACACACAAAAAAAAGAAAACGATTGAACATCTCAAATCTATAGTGTGGCTTCACATGGCTTCACCATGTCCGATTGCAAATGACTGTATTCAGCGGTGCTTTCTAGCGAGTCAAAAAGCGGTGCCCCTTCGCAAGGTGCTAACTTCACAAAACATGCCCCTGCTACTGACAAACGCAACTCTTCGCACAGTTCTTGCGGACACATTCCCCGCATTCCCCGACACTCCCTGAGAGGACACCCCACAAAGACACCTGCGTGAAGCCCGTCCTCGTCTAAGAAACTACACTTCACCAAGACACGCCACCGAGACAAACCAGTAGCTGGACTAAGATGGACTAGACTACCTTACCAAGACACTTGTCCGAGACACCCCACTTAGACACTTCCAAAGCACCCCGATGAAATACTCCGGGAAGATATTATACTAAAACATGTGGACCTCCACACACTTGAGTCCTCTATAAGACAGTCCCGCACAACACCAGGACCACCTGGACATGTCTTGACAACAAATCGGCGCAGCCACGGCACGCCAAGCTGCACAGAAAAATGGCCTATGCCGAAGTCAGACCAAAACAGACAAAAACACCTGTGAACGAAGCAAAGCAAAGTAATAGCGTTGTTATATGAGTTCCGGAGGTCGAGAGGTTGAAGCGACTTCGGATAACTCCGCTATGAACTGATCAGAAAGTGGAACTATTAGTCGAAAACAGTGTATAGACGGCAGAAAATGCAAATACACATGTGCAAATTAAAGAAAGTGCAAAATAGGAGAGAGCAAGTGAGAGGGAAGCACAAGCAGGAATCAAAATGGAAATGCAGAAACAAGTATGTAGGAGATTGAGATTGTAGGAGATTCTACAGCAGCTGCCGCAAAAGTAGACTCGACCTTCACTACCCTCATGGAGCCAACCATGTTCGACCCCTCAAAACTGTTCTTCCGTTGCGGCTTCCTTTCGCAGAACTTCTCTGAGGATTAATGGAACTCAAACGGCTGGGGCTCAAAAGGTCCTACCCAGATGATCAATTCTTGCAGCCACAATTTGGCTTCATCCCCGCACATCTTAAATGGGGGCTGACTAACCACAACTAGCAGCTATTTGGCCAACCCCATGGCTTGTCTAAGGAAACCCTTCCATGCCTGTACTTACCCTAGATGACAAATACTGGAAGCCATCACCGACCTAGCAGTTTTTTTCACAACTCATCTCTCCTGTCCCGTCTTGCAGCACTGCGGCACTCTGATTGCTTCCTTCATCTTGACGTGACACAAGATCCACATGATCCGCGGCAGTCTCCTGAACATCTGCTTGGCGGGTCGAGCAATGAATTTGCTAGTCAGTAAAACGTATTTGGACCCCAAACAGGGTAATGAATCCGATGAAGAAACCTTTGGAAAATACAAACACTTGAAAATATCAGATCTCCTTCTTGAACATGTCAGCTTCAACCATGGATATCTCAGCCTGAGCATGTTGAGGCTGAACTTGCTCATTATTTTGCAAGGAGTCAACGGCATGACTGCGTAGCCCCCATAGCGAACGGAGTTGAACCACAAGAACGAGCAACAGAAACATTGTTCTGTCTGAGTTGGCCAAAATACGAATCGCTTGACTATGCTTGAGTATGCTTGAGTCGGAATGGCAAAGCCAACGTCGGACACCGCTTCACTGCTTGCCTAGATGCTTCGATAGCATACGAGTCCGATGCAATACCTATCATGATTTAAACCACAGCAATGCCTAGAGATTTGTGTAAGGCTAGGAATAAAAAGTACCCACCAGCCGTTTTGGCTTTGAGATTTTACAACGATGCCGTGCTCAGGGCGCCCTCTCCATCGTCGAGACACCAAGCAATCACGCGCCAGCCCTTCGCAGGTCCAAAGGAGACGGTTGTAGCCTCCAAAGTGCACCAGTTTGGGGAAGGCCGAGGGATGTGAACAAATTATCCCCCTGTTCTCTGCCAACATGTCCTGATTAGTCCTGATTGTGGCTAGGGCGTCCCATGAGTTTGGGGGTCAATTTGACGGACCAACTTTCACCAAAAAGCGCGAAGCGCCTGAGTGCGACCCCGAGGCACCCGTGGCCTTGGTTTCTGCTGCCAAGCATCAGCTATATGATGAGTTTGTACTGGTATCAACCCCTTGGAAGCTATCAGTCACGTTACGATCATCATTCCAAACACGGAAAGGAACCCCGATTCAAATATCTATCTATCTATCTATCTATCTATCTATCTATATATCTATCTATCTATCTATCTATCGATCTATATCTCTCTCTCTATCTATCTATCTATCTATCTCTATCTATCTGTCTCTATCTATCTATCTATCAATCTAATCTAATCCAATCTAATCTAATCTAATCTATCTAATCTATCTAATCTATCTAATCTATCTAATCTATCTAATCTATCTAATCTTTTCTAATCTATCTAATCTATCTAATCTATCTAATCTATCTAATCTATCTAATCTATCTAATCTATCTAACCTATCTAATCTATCTAATCTATCTAATCTATCTAATCTATCTAATCTATCCTAATCTATCCTATCCTATCCTATCCTGCCCTATCCTGTCCTATCCTGTCCTATCCTGTCCTATCCTGTCCTATCCTGTCCTATCCTGTCCTATCCTGTCCTATCCTGTCCTATCCTGTCCTATCCTGTCCTATCCTGTCCTATCCTGTCCTATCCTGTCCTATCCTGTCCTATCCTGTCCTATCCTAATCCTGTCCTATCCTATCCTATCCTATCTAATCTATCTAATCTATCTAATCTATCTAATCTATCTAATCTATCTAATCTATCTAATCTATCTAATCTATCTAATCTATCTAATCCTAATCTATCTAATCTATCTAATTTATCTAATCTATCTAATCTATCTAATCTATCTAATCTATCTAATCTATCTAATCTATCTAATCTATCTAATCTCTCTAATCTATCTAATCTATCTAATCTATCTAATCTATCTAATCTATCTAATCTATCTAATCTATCTAATCTATCTAATCTGTCTAATCTGTCTAATCTGTCTAATCTATCTAATCTATCTAATCTATCTAATCTATCTAATCTATCTAATCTATCTAATCTATCTAATCTATCTAATCTATCTAATCTATCGAATCTATCTAATCTATCTAATCTATCTAATCTATCTAATCTATCTAATCTATCTAATCTGTCTAATCTATCTAATCTATCTAATCTATCTAATCTATCTAATCTATTTAACCTATCTAATCTATCTAATCTATCTAATCTATCTAATCTATCTAATCTATCTAATCTATCTAATCTAATCTAATCTAACCTATCTAATCTATCTAATGTTTCTAATCTATCTAATCTTTTCTAATCTATCTAATCTATCTAGTCTATCTAATCTATCTAATCTATCTAATCTATCTAATCTATTTAATCTATCTAATCTATCTAACCTATCCTATCCTATCCTATCCTATCCTATCTATCTATCTAATCTAATCTAATCTGATCTAATCTAATCTAATCTAATCTAATCTATCTATCTATCTATCTAATCTAATCTAATCTAATCTATCTATCTATCTATCTTATCTATCTAATCTATCTAATCTATCTATCTATCAATCTAATCTAATCTAATCTAATCTAATCTGTCTAGTCTATCTAACCTATCTAGTCTATCTGATCTATCTAATCTATCTAATCTATCTAATCTATCTAATCTATCTAATCTATCTAATCTATCTAATCTATCTAATCTATCTAATCTATCTAGTCTATCTAATCTATCTAATCTATCTAATCTATCTAATCTATCCTATCCTATCCTATCCTGTCCTATCCTGTCCTATCCTATCTATCTGTCTATCTATCTATCGATCTATCTATCTATCCATCTATCGATCTATATCTCTCTCTCTATCTATCTATCTACCTCTCTCTCTCTCTATCTATCTATCTATCTATCTATCTAATCTATCTAATCTATCTAATCTATCTAATCTATCTAATCTATCTAATCTATCTAATCTATCCAATCTATCTAATCTATTAATCTATCTAATCTATCTAATCTATCTAATCTATCTAATCTATCTAATCTATCTAATCTATCTAATCTATCTAATCTATCTAATCTATCTAATCTATCTAATCTGTCTAATCTATCTAATCTATCTAATCGATCTAATCTATCTAATCTAATCTAATCTAACCTATCTAATCTATCTAATCTTTCTAATCTATCTAATATTTTCTAATCTATCTAATCTATCTAATCTATCTAATCTATCTAATCTATCTGATCTATCTAATCTATCGAATCTTTCTAATCTATCTAATCTTTTCTAATCTATCTAATCTATCTAATCTATCTAATCTATCTAATCTATCTAATCTATCTAATATATCTAATCTATCTAATCTATCTAATCTATCTATCTATCTATCTATCTATCTATCTATCTATCGATCTGTCTATCTATCTATCTATCTATCCTATCTATCTAATCTATCTAATCTATCTAATCTATCTATCAATCTAATCTAATCTAATCTAATCTATCTAGTCTATCTAATCTATCTAATCTATCTAATCTATCTAATCTATCCAATCTATCTAATCTATCTAATCTAATCTAATCTAATCTAATCTAATCTATCTAATCTATCTAATCTATCTAATCTATCTAATCTATCTAATCTATCTAATCTATCTAATCTATCTAATCGAATCTATCTATCTAATCTAATCTAATCTAATCTAATCTATCTATCTATCTAATCTAATCTAATCTAATCTAATCTATCTATCTATCTATCTATCTATCTATCTTATCTATCTAATCTATCTAATCTATCTATCAATCTAATCTAATCTAATCTAATCTATCTAATCTATCTAATCTATCTAATCTATCTAATCTATCTAATCGAATCTATCTATCTAATCTAATCTAATCTAATCTAATCTAATCTATCTATCTAATCTAATCTAATCTAATCTAATCTAATCTATCTAGTCTATCTAATCTATCTAATCTATCTAATCTATCTAATCTATCTAATCTATCTAATCTATCTAATCTATCTAATCTATCTAATCTATCTCATCTATCTAATCTATCTATCCTATCCTATCCTATCCTATCTATCTAATCTATCTAATCTATCTAATCTGTCTAGTCTATCTAATCTATCAAATCTATCTAATCTATCTCATCTATCTTTAATCTATCTAATCTATCTAATCTATCTAATCTATCTATCCTATCCTATCCTATCCTATCTATCTATGGGAAGGCAGTCAAAAAAATACTTAGCTTGCCGGCACCGCGCACCGGCATCCGAAAGCAGGACAGTCTAACAAAAATTGTCGAATATGTGGCTACTAGTATGATCATCCATGGTCTAGTTCCAGGTCATCTAAAGTCAGGTAATTTAACATAGCTACCTACACATAGCTATTGAAAATGCCAATTTATAGTTGATTTAACCACTAAATATGTTGATTTTCATTGATTTTCCATAGCTATGTTAGGTGACTAGATGCATCCAGTCAGCTTTGACAACAGTCATCTGAGGCCGCCCGGCTCCCCAATCTTCTGGCCTGGCAAGACCTCGCCGTCTTCAGGCCTGGCCGAAGCAAAAACCTCCGGGTCGAACCGGGCTCCCTGTTGGGTGAATGGCCCTGTTGGGTTGAAAAACAAATCTATGGCACTATGGCACAGCATTGTTTTCCAACCTACAAATGCCAGGATGTCTTGTCAAGTTTCCCATCATCCCTGTCTGGGAGGCTGCAGACTGGGCGACACCAGTGGGATCCACTGAGGCTCTCGCTCCACGACCTCTGCCTTCACCAAAGCGGCCGAAGAAACCTTGCCTGGGGCCCCAGGAGCCCCGGGCATTCCGCGGAAAGAAAGTCATCCTCAAAGAGACAGGTGAATTCAGTGTGATTTCTTACCCATGTTCTTAACAGAACATGATCATGGGAAAAGAACATATAGGTAGCCAGCGAGCAAACAAATCTGGGCAAAACAGGTTGATTTGTAAAACAAATGAGGAAGAAAACACTTACATTCCATTACATTCCAGAGAGCGACGATACAAACATGTTGCAAACCAATGTTTCATAGGACAGCCAACGGGCCAAAATGGCCAAAAATGGGCAGCTACAACTGGGATTGATCCTGACCGTACAGAGGCCAAGCCTTCTAGGGACGTGTTTTGCCCAAAAACTTCATGTTTGATCGTCACTTTCCGCAAAAAAAATAAAGAATTGCTTAAGGACCTCAAACACACACAAAAAAAACACATAGATTCCCTTCATCGATTACCCAGTCGTAGTGGTTTTCAGTGGGAAATAAACCATGGCACTGGTGGCACCTTTTGGTGCTGCTTTCGACTTGGCCTTGACCTGGATCAAGTCAACCCCAGTATGTATCTTGGAGGGGTCACAAAAAAAAATAAATGGAGCAACTGTTCCTGCTGTTCACGCCAATATATACCCATTGAATTTGGATGGATCAAATCTATATATATATATATAATGACTTAGCATTTTCCCAATCAATCAAGATGGCCTTCCAAACCCCAACACACTATATCGTTTCAACATGGGGGATACCCCACAATTTTCAATTATAGGTGAACAATGTAACAAACCAAGGGGTTTGGGGTTTCATATTTTGACACAACCACTGATTGCCATCCCAAAATATATGAAAGTTAAAGTCGGCAACCAAAATCCTCCATATATACACTTATAAAATATAAACATCTTTAAAAAAACAACCACTTGAGAACCTCAATCAAACCCAGGTCCGTTCCGTTTCCGGCCTTGGGCTTGGCCTTCAACAGAGTCACTTGCGTCTTCGCCTTGGCCTTGGCCTTTGCTTTGGCCTCGGTGCAGCTGCCTGGCAGCCCGGCCGCTGGTCATAGCTACATCATCTACATCCAGCTCCAATCAACACATATCACAGAAACACATCGAGATACACCAAGTCTCAGACTTTTGCCTTGGCCTGCGAGCATTTCCACATGAATGAATTGCAGCTGCCAGCCGTTGCTCAACATTTGTTTCAGCAAGATGCTGGAATATTTGTGAAGCTGTTCAGGGTCACGCAAAAACCATAGCCAAAAGGGCATACATAGTCCGATCTCAAACTCTGCATTTCATGGTTTAATTAGTCGGAAAGCGTCGAAAACTATTGGGAACACCTTCAAGAGCAAATGGGTTGACCATAGAAAACCAATGGGGAGTGCAAGTTGGAACATCTTGAAGCCCTCCATTTCTATCCATTTACTTGAACATACTTGAACAACATCCAAAGCGCAGCATGTTTTAGCCTTGGCTTTGGCAGAAGCCTTTGCTTTGGCCTTTCCTTTGGCTTTGGCCTTCGCCACCTGATCCAATGGCAGTCATCACACTGAACAGATCGGTTTTTGGCCTTTCATACATTCGCAATCCTGCTTATATCATCTTATATTATATATATATATTTCATACATCTATATACGGTGTGTATAACATGTATGCCATGTAATCCCTTCCCCCTATTACAGTACTACCCCCCCAAAAAAATAATAAAAACTAGGGTCCATCGGTCCATCTCTAATTTTGGGAAATTTCAGATTGGCCAATTTGACTTTTAATTGATCCCCTTTAGAAAACAATGTTAAAATAAAGCTACCATTTCTGGGTTTTGCCCCCTAATAATAAAAACTAGTTTACCCCGGGGTGTTTATTATTGGGGTCCATCCGAAAATTTTTAATTTTTTATATTAGGGCTTCTAATTTATTATTCGGGCCCGCTTTGAAAGCCAATTTTTGGCAATATTTTAATTGCGTTATATAAGGAAATTTAATTGATTTTGAAATCAGAAAAAACGTGTTTTATCATTAAGGTTTTAAATTTATTAATAGGGTCTGCATCGAATTCATTTTTTGGCAATAGTTTAATTGCGTTATAAAAGGAAATTTAATTGATTTTGAAATCGGAAATAGTTTTTATTGTTAAGGTTTTAAATTCATTAATAGGGTCTGCTTCGAAATCAAATTTTTGGCAATAGTTTAATTGCGGTATAAAAGGAAATTTAATTGATTTTGAAATCGGAAAAATAGTTTTTATTATTAAGGTTTCAAATTTATTAATAGGGTCCGCTTCGAAATACAATTTCTGGCAATATTTTAACTGCGTAGTTATAAGAGGAAATTTAATTGATTTTGAAATCGGAAACACATGTTTTTATTATTAAGGTTTTGAATTTATTAATAGAGTTCCCTAAAAATAAATAACCCCCTAATACCCCTAATAATAAAAACTACCTGAGGTGTTTATTATTTGGGGATGGGGGGGGGGTTTAGTATTAGGGGGAAGGGGTTATTTACATTCTACATCTAGGAAAATTTGAATACTTCTCAGACCTGAAAAGGACCCGTTTGAGGTCTCTCCTAGGTCGGCTGCCAGGAAGCTGCGGCGTAAAATCTCAAGTTTACGATAATTCCCCGTTAAACTAGGTACGCTAAATAAATATACCACATGTTGACATACTGGAAATAGTATTAGGCAAAGAGAATACACGACATCAATTTTTCGATTGCTTACTGCTATTCTGGTGAAAGAATGTCACTACGACATCATGTTGTTAAACTCGCACTTGCGGATCCAATATCAGCAACTAGACGCAGCATTGCGCTCAGTTGAATATGATCGATTCCACCCCCCAACAATTCAACACCGGCAACAACAAAGCCCCAAAGGAACAAGTCCAACATTAAACTGCTAAACCGTGGGTATTTAATACTTATACAAGGTGATGCCCCATAGTTAGCTAGGATGATTTAAACGTAGGCTATAGGATTTATGGTAATGATACGCCACCTTGTAGGGGACAAGGGATCTCTATTACAAACCCGACAAACCCCTCCGGCAATCAAACATGGCAATGGAACTTCGGAGCAACTACAAATGATTTTCCCAATCAAACCTCCACTTGAAATTTATAGGGGACTTGTCCATTCTAATCATTTTGCCATTAACAAAATCCATGAAATCACCATTTGTCATAGGGAAATCACAATTTTTCATAGGGAAATCACCATTTGTCATAGGGAAATCACCATTTGTCATAGGGAAATCACAATTTTTCATAGGGAAATCATCTTTTTTCATAGGGAAATCACCATTTTTCATAGGGAAATCACAATTTTTCATAGGGAAATCACCATTTGTCATAGGGAAATCACCATTTTTCATAGGGAAATCACCATTTGTCATAGGGAAATCACCATTTTTCATAGGGAAATCACAATTTTTCATAGGGAAATAACAATTTTTCATAGGGAAACCACACTTTTTCATAGGGAAATCAGAATTTTTCATAGGGAAATCACCATTTTTCATAGGGAAATCACAATTTTTCATAGGGAAATCACAATTTTTCATAGGGAAATCACCATTTTTCATAGGGAAATCACGATTTTTCATAGGGAAATCACCATTTGTTTAAGGGAAATCACAATTTGTCATAGGGAAATCACAATTTTTCATAGGGAAATCACGATTTTTCATAGGGAAATCACAATTTTTCATAAGGAAATAACAATTTTTCATAGGGAAATCACACTTTTTCATAGGGAAATCACCATTTTTCATAGGGAAATCACCATTTTTCATAGGGAAATCACAATTTTTCATAGGGAAATCACGATTTTTATAGGGAAATCACGATTTTTCATAGGGAAATCAACATTTTTCATAGGGAAATCACCATTTTTCATACGGAAATCACACTTTTTCATAGGGAAATCACAATTTTTCATAGGGAAATCACCATTTGTTTAAGGGAAATTAAATTTTTCATAGGGAAATCACCATGTTTCATAAGGAAATCAACATTTTTCATAGGGAAATCACCATTTTTCATACGGAAATCACACTTTTTCATAGGGAAATCACAATTTTTCATAGGGAAATCACCATTTGTTTAAGGGAAATTAATTTTTTCATAGGGAAATCACCATGTTTCATAAGGAAATCACAATTTTTCATACGGAAATCAATTTTTTTCATAGGGAAATCGCAATTTTTCATAGGGAAATCACGATTTTTCATAGGGAAATCACAATTTTTCATAGGGAAATCACCATTTTTCATAGGGAAATCACCATTTTTCATAAGGAAATCACAATTTTTCATAGGGAAATCACCATTTTTCATAGGGAAATCACAATTTTTCATAGGGAAATAACAATTTTTCATAGGGAAATCACACTTTTTCATAGGGAAATCAGAATTTTTTATAGGGAAATCACCATTTTTCATAGGGAAATCACAATTTTTCATAGGGAAATCAACATTTTTCATAGGGAAATCACCATTTTTCATAGGGAAATCACACTTTTTCATAGGGAAATCAAAATTTTTCATAGGGAAATCACCATTTTTCATAGGGAAATCACAATTTTTCATAGGGAAATCACAATTTTTCATAGGGAAATCACCATTTTTCATAGGGAAGTCACCATTTTTCATAAGGAAATCACACTTTTTCATAAGGAAATCACCATTTGCCTGTATAATTGGGTTGTAAGAAATGGCAGTCCAACGGCCTGGCCTTTTGCGACGCCAAGACCATGGACTGGGACGCGGCCGTGGCCGCTTTTCCGTCCTGGCTGCACTCAACGGAGGTTGTTATGGGAAAATCAACTTTAAACTGGGTTTTGATATGGTCTCCATGGGACAATATCTATAAATGTAAGATGTTCCAGAAAGCCATGCTTGATTACCACAGGGTAATCAGTCAATAAAAGGGTGTCATGAAACTTGGAGATGTTACAAGTAAAACAAACAAGGTCCAAGCGCGAACATTGTGATATCACCTGTAAACAATGGTGATTTTGAATTTGGATGTAGCATGATGCAGCCAATGAAGCTGTGGGACTCAAAACACGAATGGGAACAACACGAGGGTCGGTTTCGCCGAATACCACTATCATCTTTGCTTCCCTCAACTCCAAGCTGGACAATGATTCAACGACGGAAGAATCATCTGTGACCTCCCAACAAATTGCCATCCAAGTTCCGCACGCTCTTCTGAGAAGCACCTGCTGGTCTTTTCATTCCTGGAGCAATCAGCCCAAAAAATGAAGAAACTGCTCATATTCATAGCTGATCTGTAAAAATCCTGGCTTTTCTGATTGAGGTCTTCCACTTTCCGGCAATTCAATTCATAAATTTGGCACTCAATCGACAACGCTTTCAGGTGGAAACATTACTGTATCAGCCATCTCAGTGGTAAAGCATAGGGTTGATGGAATTTATGACTTATATATATATATATATGCGTATACACATATATAAGTCACACATATATATATGATTATATATGTGTGATTTATTGATGTCTACTGGGAAAAAAAACTGATAACACTGGTAACTTCTGTGAAAATAAGATACCAAACAAATAATAAACTGAACGGGGATTTGACGATTTGACTTGAACATCTTGAACAAGTGATGTAAATGGATGGGGCAAGCCCTGTCATGGAAAAAAACAATAGAACTGCCAACTAAGAACTGTTCCACGCTCTGTTCCGCGTTTCTGACCCCAAAACAAACATGGAGCACTGGAACACGTGGAACAAAAACTCAGAACATGTGGATCAAATGACTGAGAATTAGTATGAGGGACCTGTCCAAAATACCAACACTGAACACCAATCAAGAAGTTTGGTTGGCAAAATCTCGAGACATCTCTAGACCCCCCAGTTCTACCAAAATGATATAGACATAAAAGTGGTATGTTATCATTGTTATCCCAGAACGTTGCTATGTTTACCCATTTTTTATGGCTTCAACTGGAAGGTCCCAACGGGTCATCCATGGCGCGTCCTCCCTGGGATGGCTGCGTTTTCTGCGCACGTTGCGATGCGGTGGGCGACAGGGACACCTCCGCGCCCGCCTGGAACATGTTGGAACGTTGGGAGAAAGGATAGAAATTTGGTTTCTGATTACCCATAGGATCCATGTATGCTATATATGGTAACATTTACCATCAATATACCCCAAATGTTAGCATATATACCATCCATACACGGATCCTATGGGTTAATAAACCGCATTCTTGTACTTTATGAATTCTAAGTGATTTCGGGCTGAGCATGTTTGAGCTGTGAAATTATGTGACATACAATTGTGTCTCCTATAGGACTGTGTCCAAAGGAAACAAACCGGCACCCGTGAAACCACCAAGGGCCACGCAGTAAATAATACCTCTTGTCCGTCACAAAAGGCATATGTGCTGGCTGTCGCATCTAAGTCCTCGGTATGGGCTGAAGGTTGGAAAGGTTGTGCCTTGACTTCCTATACCTGAAACAACAAGGCAATTCCATACTGACCTCAATCAAACTATATAATTTGCCATAATTTGCCTATCCAAGATGAAAGGCTCCACACCGGTGGTTTTGCCACATCAAATAAAATCGTCATGGGACTTGGGCCCCCCTGGGAGGCCAACCAACTCGGGGTGTTCCGGCGTAGACCTGGGATGCATCTTACATATTGTTTAGTCATTCTGAACATTTTCTGAATGATGATCATCATCATCATCATGATCATCAACATCAAGGTTGGCATCAGCCAATTTTCAGTGGACAAATCTGGCATTTCAACTCCACCAACAAAAGCTTTTTGTTTTGCAAATCCCTTGCTAACCAAGACCTCAGAACCTGTAAAATGTCATGTGATTCAATGTGATCGTCCACCAAAACCGAGCTTGAAATACCTTAAATACTGCTGGTCATCTCTGAACCCAGCGAATGCACATCCCTACGGTTACCTGACGATATGGCCAATTTTAGATACGCACAAATAAAAAAAATGGGATTTGTGGCAGGTCTGCCCTGAAATAGAGTAAATATAGGGCATCGCTAAATCCAATGATTATCAATATGTTTCCTAAAAAGCGAATGATAATCAATGATAATCCATTGGACATTTCCTGTGAAATGTGTCCATTTGGGGGTTTAGCCCCATTTCCAGACCCGGCCACTGCTGGTTCATATCTTCTCCAAAACCCCCCAGGAACCGCACAAGCGCAAGGTGGACTCGGACTCTGCGCCTAGGTGGAAGGCAATTTTCCTCTAAAATCTAAAACAAGTGCGATTCCCGGTCCTAGCCAAGAAATACATGTTTTATAATGTGTTTATTTGTTTGATTTGAGAAAACAATTTTTTTTGCCACAAAAATCCTCCAAGATCGTCATTGGGTAGGGAATCCTTGGGCATTGGCTAAGCTCTCTGAAGACCGCGTAGGCGCGCGCGAAACGCCTGGCAGGCACTACACTGCCGAAATCAAGGCAGCTTTGATGATGTTCAACTGAAAATCCTCAGAAAGAAAACATCACTTTGCCAGTGGTGATGCTAAATGGACCTACCACAGTTGTTTAAATGGAACTTGACAAACTATCAATCGATTGGGTTTGTTGGAAAAACCTAAACCGGTGAAGCGGACAGGTGTTGGCACGTTTTACCCTATACATTCACGTGTTCTTTTGAGCATGTTCATCCCCACTATCTAATCCTGAAAACATGCAGCTGTTCTGACCATGTTCAACAAGTATAGCATCTATAAACAGTTGCTACTAACTACAGCAACTAGTAGGTAAAATATGGTAACATCAATGATGGGCAAATATCTGCCTTCCAGGGAGGTGGCACATTTGCTCAAACATCCTCAACACCAACACCACACAATGTAGTCCCACAGGTCATGTTTGCAATTTAAGTTTGGTGTAATGTAAGTCCACCATTACATGATTTGCATGGCTTTGCCAACAACTTGCAGGTCATGTTTCAAAGACATGTCAAACAAAATAAACAAACTCCTTCTGGTTGGTGGTTTTGAATAGAACCATCCCCTGGCATCCACGGTGATAGGCATTCCAGCGTCCTGGCATAAAAAAATCCCCCAGGTTCTGGTTGACATTCGCAACATCAACTGGGTAACCAAAGGTAAATTATAACTATATGTTGAGAATAATTTGTAATTGGCAACCAAATTGGTAATTACATGTTGAGAATAATTTGTAATGTTCAAAGGTAAATTAGTCTGGTTGGCATCCCCTATTATCCCAAAAGGGGGGGGTAAGTCTGAATAATTCTTCAAAATCAATCAACCAGACGAGCATTTTGAGGATGATGCTGTAATATTGACCCATCATTGCCTTTGGTGCCACCAAGAAATCCTAGACTTCTGTCGTCCTTGCAACTGGGGGTAATGGTTTGTTCGTGGTTCACCCCAGTTAGCACATGGATTACCCATATCAACAAACTGGCATAGAGCTAGTCCAGTTGTAACTGGGGTGAACCAACCCACTTACTAACTGTGTGGTGTGAGGCAATATATTCCATCAAAACTCCAAAAAACATCTCATTGTATTTCCATTATTAGCCACAAAAAAAGCCACTAATATCCCTGTTTAGTTAATCCTATTAAACCCCATACCCTCTGGTAAACTAACATAGCTATGGAACATCACCATGTTTAATGGGAAAATCCACTATAAATGGCAATTTTCAATAGCTATGTTAAATTACCAGAGGGTAAAATCTATGTCAATCCCATGGTATCCCACTCCTGGATTGCCATCTACTCCCACAGAAAGTCTGCAAGAAACCTCAACGGCTGATCCCATCGCAGGCGAAAGGTCTGCGGCTCATGGGAGCCTGGCACTTTTTTAAACGGCCATCACAAGGTGGTGCGCCCCTAGTTATAAGTTGGTTAAAAATTACCGTTAACTATAGGTATATTTCCCATAAACCCTAGTTAACCTAGTTAACCAAGTTATGTGCGTCAATTTAGCTAACTATGGGGCATCACCTATAGGGATTATGTAGGGCCTAGTAGGGAGATTATCACATTTATCATATGGTCTCCATGAATATCAGCTATTTCTATATGAATATATGTGATCCTTATATCATATTTATATATATTTATAGGGGGACTATATGATATCTACACTTTCACTATCACGCTAGTATTTGCGGATATTTAACATAGCTGGCAAATTTACATAGCTATGAAAAATGGATGGACATGGTCCATTCATACAAGGTGGTACCCCCAACATAGCGTTCAGTTGGTGCAAATAACTCCAATTTCACATAATTTAACTATATGGTTTTTGTAGTTGATATATCATCTATAGTTAATGGGTTTATAACCCATTTATAACTAGGGGGTCGGCGATTTACCGTCAATTTGCCCCTCTAAATCAGTCATTGGTATTATATTATTCATATCTGTTTTTAGATATATGATACTGGCAAGGAGATCATGTTATATTTATCATCACGCTAGTGATTAAATTTGCCATAGAAAATGGATGAACATATATGAACTTGATCCATCTGCAGGTAATTTATCCCTACTGAATGTGATTACCCTCTGGCAAACGTTTACAATCGTTTACATAACTATGGAAAATCGCCATGTTTCATAGGTAAATCAACAATTTCTATGGACATTTTCAATAGCAAACTGTAACAAGTTACCACAGGGTAATCACCATTTATAGTTGATTTACCTCCAAAAAGTGATTTTCATTGGTTTTCCAGAGTTTTTTGTATGTTTACCAGATGGTATTTAAAAAATGTTTGCTTGGAAAAAAGTCCTCCCTGTGGCGATCTCCCCTGCACCCATGAAATCCCATGAAGACAGGGGCACCGTCCGCCGCAACGGCAAGAAGATGAAGAAAACTCTGTGCTGCCTGGAAACAGCCGGGTCACATTTTGACTCAGTGGATTTCCCTCTAGTAACGTTGACAAGTTTGCTATGGAAAATCAACATATAGGTAAATCAAAGGTAAAATCATCGAACTAAATGGTCCGTGTTCCCTAGCTATGTTAGTTTACTGGAGGTAGTTGAAGGGAAACAATACAGTTTCCTGGGAGGGAAAAAAGCATTGGTTTCAGGTCAAGATTTCCGGCACACGGACTCACAAGGTCAGAGACCCTTCAAACACCACGGACCCACCTGAAGATTTCCATTAAACCGCTTTGACACATTATTATACCGTATACCACTGCAATTTGCCACTTGCTTGGGTTTCATAATCCTGTGTGTTGATTTTGGAAGGTGTAGCAAAGATTTGTGACCTACAGGGTGTCCATATGTGCCCATCGCACCTGTGAATCGTGCCCCATGGCGTCTCCACACTTAATGAGCCAAAAAAAATGGGTGGCTGCGAACCCAGCAAGTTGCTGACTTTGTTCATAATTGTGAGCGTACTCCTACCGCAAAGTCACAAGTCTGACGTGATAAAATCACTGCAACAAAAATGCACAAATCAAGCCGCCAAAGGTTCCCTTGCCTCCAATGTCTGCATTTTTTTTTATCCAAGAAGGTTGGAAGAAGCAATCACTACACCCAATACCAGGCACATATTTTTCGACGCATTTCAGTTACTTGCAGCGGGTGGCATACCTTGACGCGAGCCGCATTTAGAGTCAACCAGGTGTTTCATCAAACTTGTTGGCTCTGTGATCCAAAACAAGAGGCCATTTTGCATATGGAAATATTTGGATGAATAATATTAACCAATAAGCATACATAGCGATTTATTTATATATTTATAAAATGGAATATTATATAATGATAATGTTCAAACCCACATTAAACAAATGAACAAACAAACAACAAACAAACAAACAAACAAACAAACACACAAGCAAACAAACAAACAAACAAACAAACAAACTAAAACTAACTAACTAACTAACTAACTAACTAACTAAAACAAACAAACAAACGAACGAACAAACAAACGAACAAACAAACAAAAATCCTTCTGCATATTGTTTTGGACGGAAACAAATCAGAATGGGCCTAGATGTGACAAAATTGTTCCCAGCAAAATAGCGATTTGACCTCGCAAATGGCAAATCCATCTGCGGCTCAATGGGCCTGAAATGTTCACCCATGCATCTTTCAGTTCCCCTGTGAGTTTCGTGTTTGATGGCTGAATGAATCAAATTACAGCAACAAAAAAAACAGTTTTCTTCTACCAACTCATGATTGAATCCAGGCGTATCCAGGTTATAAAAATTGACAATGCAACATGCTTCAATTCCCAGCTTGCTCATCGATAGTTGAATCCTCCTTTGCGGTGAATTCTTGTTCTCTCCCCATTATTTCTGGTCCATCCATATCCGCTGTTTTGCCTGGTTCCTGATACCATGGGTATATATATATATATAGATATATACATACAAATATATATATATATATGTATATTTATTTACATATATATATATATAATCAAGCTTCAAAATCAGAGCATATATCTTCCCCAGGTGCGTCGCCCATATATATATATATATGTATACACGTGTGTGCGTGTATGTGTGTGCGCAAATGCAATAAATAGATAAATTAATAAATGATAGATAAAAATAAAAATAAATATATATATATATATACATACATAGTTATGGTATGTTATGGTAGTTTTGCCCCCACATTCCCGGCTCCAAGCTTTACCGAGGCAGGGATGCATTCCGCTCAGGCTCCAGCATCTGAACGGATTTTTGGGAGCGGCGAGGCCATCTCCAGATTTGTGTAGGGTTTAGTGTAGAGCATATATGATGTATAGATATGTATAGTAGGGTTGCGGACTGTACACATCTGTACACTAGAAATGACATGAAATGACCAAATTTGGCGGGCCCAAATTTAGTGCCCCATTTTCGAAATCCCCTTTGAGCTTGCAGAATTTGAAATCACCAGCAGACTTTGACGCAAGCTGAGCCAATGGCTGCAAGGGGACGCTTTCAGAAGAAACCGATGTGTGCATTTCTTTGACACTCGGGGTGTCATGAAGAAATTTATTTTCCTGAATCTGCATGAAATCAAACCTTCAAACATCAAGCCACTTGTGGGGTTCTTATCATGTTGAACTTTGACCACTTGCCCACCACAGTTTGAAACATCCGGCACGGATGAACCTGGAACTGGTACCGCGTTGCGGCGTGACGGCGTGACCCACTGAGAACTGGGCTACGTTGGACAAATGTTGGACTTCGAACTGGGCAGAGATGGAGAGTGAAGCCATGAACCCCTCTTGGGATCTCTTGGGTATTGTGGGTTGCATTCGGGACATTGGGTCTCATTTAAGGGTCCCATATTCTTGTTGGATGATTCATGATGATTCTTACACATTTCCAAAGAAAGATCTGCAATTGAAAAGGTGTGCTGATGAACATTCGCAGGATTGCACTACAAGCAAGCTGTCTGACTCAAGAATTTACGGGAATGCATCAAAATTGCGATATATCTTCGGGTAAACCGGGTAAACTAACAGTTTTCTTTGGACCAATTTATGTGTTCAAAGGATTTCAAAGGTACTTTCAACAGTAAGTCATCGACCTCAATGGACCATGGCTTCCACAAAAATTCCTGGATTTTACCAAGGGCTAGGTTGTCGGTTTAGGTATACTCAACAAAAACGGATTGCTGACAATCAAAGCAATCAACATGTTCAGCCTTCTGGGTCCGCTTGACCCATATGATGGGTCATTCATGGCAGCCTGGTATACATCTGTATGGATGTTTTTTTTCTCACACATGGTACTCCGCAGGTTTCGATCCATCCTAAATAAAACCATTGGCCTGTGAATGAATATATATATATGGAAAAATATGGAAACCATTATAGAAACCATTATAATTAATAGAGGAAAATATATGAACCATATGATACCAATATATATAAAACCATTGGCCTTTAATATATGGAGTGATGAGATGGAAAAAAAACAATGGTCTCCCGCAAAAAAAAAAAAAAATTTGGTCTTGGTCCCCAAAAAACCTTCGTCACCGACAACCGCACCCCATGCCATCTTCTGTTAGGGGCCTCCTGTGACCGCTGCAGCAAGTGACCTATGCACCTGAAGAAGCAAAGCTGTGCCGGCCGCATGCAGGAGGAGGACCCCTAGATGGCTAAGTTGATTGATAAGCAGGCTAGCTAAGGTTTATCAGGGATATTCTGTAGTAAAACAGGGTGCTTTTAACAAACGTATAACTTGGGGGCTCCTTGCTGTGGGATATTCACCAATAACTCATGGTTTATGGCCATTCAAAGATGGACATTCAACCCATCATTCTGTGGGGAGAACATGGGGATATCCGGATATCATGGGAATCCTGGGCCGTGGGAGATTAATAACAATAATATAACAATAGCGTTTGTCATGGGAGATTAGCGGAGATATACCTACGATTTGGTATACCGGGCAAAAGACTAGCAGTGATTGGCAAATATAATCGGAATATATGAATACGTTGATAAAATGTTATAAAACATGTATCACCAGCGATACATGATGTGTATATAGCTGTTAGGCTTAGGTATATACTGCAACTATCTGTAATTAACTCATTTTTGTGAAAAGGGAATTTAACAAACAAGGGATGCAATGAAATGGGGCTATGGCTAGACAGGAACTCTGACGAGAATATGGGAATGCATGTGGATAAATGGGGTAGGTCGGAGAAGTGCAATTTGAATTGGAAAGAATTCATGAGGAATCTTCTTGGGCCATGGGGGGTTCCATTTCAAATCTCTTTCTCTCTCTCTCTCTCTCTCTCCTTTTCTTTGCCTTTTCAGGTGAGATTCATCAGCTCTCTTGCATTTTCTTGGCCTTTCGCTTTAATTGGTTGGCACTTCCAATGTTCATGCAGCATTTGGGGCTGGTCCAAGCAACGAGGTTCTTGCTTTATAGATCTTTATAACACGATCAGGTCGCGGCTTTTCCAAGTCCAAAGCAGTGCTGCTCAAAGCATTGGCCTCAGACCATAGAGAGAGGCCAGAGCTATTTTAAGAAACATGCACGGTATGATTATCATTATCAGAATGTTACTATATAATACATATATATATATGTGTGTGTATATACTAGGTATATATCTTATAATATAGTATGTCTTCAACGTTCTTCAACACTGCACAGAAACTGATTACAGTATACGTACGAGCAAAAAGTCCACCAAACCCGGCTTTCCATCCGGGAAACTTCCGGTTCGGGGAACTCCTAAGGGATTTCTAGCCACATCGAGCCCTGAACCCAAGCCAACCCAAGCAGATCTCTGAACCCCGGCCCCGAAAGACCAAAGAATATTGGCCAGCTCCTGTGGTTGAACCTGGCCATGGCAGCCCAGCTACATTGGTTTTGGCTGTTGAGTCGGGGGTAGGTGAACCCTGGGGGTAGAAACCACACACAAACAAGCCATCAATCTACCATGCGACCTAGCCCTAGAATCGGCAAGAATAAACCAAGACAAAAAGCCAAGTTTCAACAAACAATTAGTTTCTCCTGGCATTATCCATTGCCAATCTTAGATACTGGTACCCTGCAAACAAATCAAAGTCTTAGCTGGTTAGTAGATAACCCCATTGATACCAAGAGAATAAAGGATTACACATGATTAAACTATCTATTCAAGGTTGACTTAGCCTAATGACCTAGTTTAATGAATCACCTCACATTGGATTTGTTTCAAGGGCTACTAATCAGCCATATTCAGCTGCTGCAGGCGGCCAAGCAGTACATAATTAGTACAGCAGCACAAGTCTGGTTTGTCGTTTCAAGAATTAGCCAGTTGGAATTACAATCTCAAATAGAGTTGAAAATAACATGATACCCTCCTGCCAATTTCACATAGCATTCATATGGAAAATGGCAGATGTCCTTGATGATATACCACGATTTACAGTTTGAACATGGTGAGAGTTCCAGTTTGCAAGCTGTTCAATGTCCATGCTGTTTCATCCATTCAATCCCATTAAATCCGTTAAAATCCGAATTCGCTCATGGTTAAACCATGTTAAACCACCACACATGACCATATTCTCTAATGTGGGTAAAACAATGTCAAAAACCGCCTACAAAAATGGTGATGACTAGGGGATGGTTTATGACATTGTTTTACCCACATTATAGGGTAGGTGGTATATCCCACATTAATATTGGGATAACCACATTGTCCCACTTAAAATCATTAAGAGTCCCAACTAATCTCAATTACCATCTGGTTATTTAACGTAGCTATGGAAAATCACCATTTCTAATAGGTAAACCATCTATAAATGGACCATTTTCCATGGCTATGTTAAATAACCAGAGGGTAATGATTGTTTTACCCACATTATCCCAATCTTACCCCAGGTCCTGGTGACACCCACAGAACCTGGTGGACTTTGGAAGTCAAGGCCTCACCGGCCATCTGAAAAAGCTCCACATCCTGGC